GATACGGGCTAGAGGGCAAACCCGGTGCTCCCAGAGTCCTGCCGGTCCCCCGCGGCACTTACGCGCTCGTGGGTCCACGGCGGGGCAGAACCGAAACTTTCTGGGACCAAGCGGAAGAGTAATGGAGCGCTGTACCGGCAGCCATGACGCGTACACCCAGCCGCGGGCGGGCGGGCGCGCGCGAACCACAACTCCCGGCAGGCTGCGTGGGGCGTGGGCCTACAACTCCCATCGGGCCCCACGACGGACTACGACTCCCGGCATGCTCCGCAGCGCAGAGGTTTGCAGCTTCAACAGCTCCTTCTCTGCCCTCCAGCCTGCAAAACCAGCCCCCAGATTAACTCTTGCAATCTCCGGGGTCAAGTGTGACCGCAATTCCTGTTCGCGATCCGCATAGTTGAGCCCTTGTGCTGTAAATGTAAAATACGAGGGTACGTCAAAATTTTTGTGGAAAATAAGTATGGGAAAAACTGCATGGATTTTGAGTTATTTTTGCACCCAAATAAATTATCTTCTAATTATATTTTCCACGAACTTTTTGAAGTACTCGCGTACACCTGGATTCTAAATACTTATTCCAAATAACATAAAATAAAATAGCGCATTAATATTTGTATATTGATTATGTGGTAGGATACTTTTGATTAAATACATGTATTGAGCTAAATAAAAAGCACTACAATCACTGAGCCTGCTATTATAGATTTCTGTCCCCTCACTTCTTAACAGTGAGACTCACTTAAAATCAGTGCTCTAACAGTGTGTGTTAAAGTGCTCCATCCCATTCCCAGCCCAACTTCTGTTTGTAAGTTGTGTAGTGCACAGAGCTGTAGAGCTGGATACAACAGGACAGAAAGCATTTGATGAACTGTGTCCGTCGGGCACATTTGAGGAGGAAGTGTACACCGGGAACTTTAGCCGGTGATTGGACCCATTCCCTAGCACTGACGAACCATCGGTCCTCTACCCTCTGCCAGAAGCACCCTCTGTCCCAGCTCTAAGCTGGTAGCACCCCCTTGAGAGCCGCAGTCACAAAATGGGGAGTGGTTTGGGTAGAATAATACAGGAAAGGAAGTGTATTTCTTAGCTGACTTTAGGCTATGGCATCTCATTAGCCACCTTTTGTAAATTAGATATAAAGTGGATGGCACAGTGAGTTAGGGTTGTCAGTTGAGGAGTGAAGTTGGGAGGAAGGACATGAATACAAGTGATTCTCATTTTTGTTAGCAGGATGGAAAACTGTCACGAAACAGGAGAGAGTGGGGGAGATGACAAAAGGAAAAGTCATCCAAGGAGCCAGTAAAAACATAGCTCTAACCACAATGTGAAGATATTATGAGACATTAAGGATGAGAAGGATTTGGTACTGTATGCTTTTTTAAAAAAATTACTTATTTGAATGGCAGAGTTAGAGAAGCGAGAGAGCGCGAGATCTTCCACCTACTGGTTCACTCCCCAAACGGCCACAATAGCTGGGACTGGGCCAAGCTGAAGCCAGGAACCTGGAAGTCCATCCAGGTCTCCCGTGTGGGTTTGCAGGGACCCAAGCACTTTCAGATAAGAATTCTGACTACCCTAAGGCAGTCACGTCCTGGGGACGCCACATGGTGAGCTGGCCATAGAGTGAGCCTCGTGGACAGCTGAAAGGAGAACTTTAGGCAGAAAGCGCACTCAGCGCAAAGGCTTGGGGTCAAGACGTGCAGCTGGTGTGGCTGAGGAGCTGCAAGGAGGCCAGTGCGAAGGGAGAATAGAGCATAGGGCCAGGGAAGAAGCAGAGGTGCACCTGAGAGTAGAGGTCTGGATGGGAACTGTGCATCTATATTTTTAAATACCTCCCCAAGTGCTTTTTTTTTTTTTTGACAGGCAGAGTGGAGAGTGAGAGAGAGAGACAGAGAGAAAGGTCTTCCTTTTGCCGTTGGTTCACCCTCCAATGGCCGCCGCGGCCAGCGTGCTGCGGCTGGTGCACCACGCTGATCCGATGGCAGGAGCCAGGTACTTCTCCTGGTCTCCCATGGGGTGCAGGGCCCAAGCACTTGGGCCATCCTCCACTGCACTCCCTGGCCACAGCAGAGAGCTGGGCTGGAAGAGGGGCAACCGGGACAGAATGCGGCACCCCGACCAGGACTAGAACCCAGTGTGCCAGCGCTGCAAGGCGGAGGATTAGCCTAGTGAGCCGCGGCGCCGGCTCCAAGTGCTTCTATCATGCAACTCCTGGTGGGGAGAGTGTGGACAAAACCTCTGATTTAATCCCTTGTATAACAGGTTAAAAAATTAAGAGCCTAGAAATGCTCCTGGGCTTATGGAAGGAGGCCCAGTGCACTGGTGGAAGGCTGAGGCTTGAACCCTGACTAAGCGACCTTGGGGCAATTTGCTTTAAGTTCACCGTCGTCTTCTATGAAACAGAAGCCATAGCAGCAATTTCAAATGGTTTTGTGGACACTAAGCGAGATAAGACACATGCCCTATCACGGGGGTGACATAAAGTTAGTGCTGCATTTTTACTGGCTACATTGTCATCAGCACCACCACCACCATCCTCATCACCATCACCATTTGCAGTGGGGCCCCAGCCAGCGAGTCGCAGAGCTGGGACTAGAATCCTGGTCTCAGACTCCTAATGCAGTGGCCTTCTTGTTAGTGAGGCATCAAGACCGACCTCGGAAGGATTTAAGTATTTGCTTGTCCAGGATTGTGTAACAAGCTCTCGCTGTATTCTGAGTAGAGAAATAATGTTCTACTTTTTGTCCAGACTAGCTCTTGGCTCTCAGAATAAAGGACATCAGCTACACCTAAGGCATGGGGAGAAACTGGAAAAGACACCTTGGAGAAACGCTTATCTTTCCCACCAAAAGATAACCATTAGGTCCACGACCTGGCCACTTCCCCAGAGCTTCACTGCCCAATGGGCAGCTCTGTCGGCCGTGGCAGGGAGCAGTGCCGCTCCCGAGAGAAGCGCCGGTGGGGGCCTGCTGGTGCCACCTGTCAAACGGCCTCCGTTGTAATGGACACTGCCTAGGTGCTCAGAGTGAGGCCACAGCCTCCTGGATATTGGACATGGCTGTGGTCCTGCTTCTGCCTAAGCAGGTGGCACACCTTCCGAAATGGAAGGCCGCAGCAGTAAGCAGAAGGATTGGGTTATTATTAGGTATTACTTTAAGGAAAACTCCTTACCGTACTTCAAGGGCATAGAAAATGAGCCAAACAATATGACCACCAGGAGCAACCTGACCTTTTACTTCCCACCATAAATATGTCACGTGATGCATACATCCCCTGCTTGTGCCTAATTGTTAGCCTTTTGCAATGTACATTCCTAATTGTTATGTTACTAGTTAAACCTAAGACTAAATAATAAAGGGCGCTGGCCGGAAGGCTCCCGTGTCTGTCTTGGCTGATCATTTTGAAACTCCACACTCCCTCAAGGGTTTTTGGGTGGGACCTTCTGGCTTGTAGGCTGACCCTCAACAAGGATGAGCAGGAGTCAATCTCTGTAACCTCTTTCACACATGTGGTGGCATGTGTTGATTTGGTGGCTGGGCCTCTTCCTCGCTTGGGGGCTTCCTCTCTGTGAGAAGTGAACATTTCTTTCATTTTCAAAGTAAGGTGTTTAGCTGGGAGTAGACAACGAGCTAGCACAACGGCTTACAGCGGTGTAGAAAGCTTCCTAGGTTACATGCACCTAGAAAGGTGGGCGTGGCCAAAACAGCTGAGGCACTTGCTGGGAAGATTGTAACCCGAAGTACTCAGCCAATGAGGAAGCAGGGAGGGACCTGCATGCTAGGAAGTCAATCAGTGGCTGTGAACCCCGCCGGATGCTCTGGCCCACCAGACACCTGACTGCTAGTAAAGTCGCACTTTGGCTGCACTTCCCGAGTCTGAGTCTTGCTTCTGGTCCTGTACGCCTGGCTTCAGTTAGGTGGAGCCTCCTGTGTAGGCGAGGCAGATCTGGAAGGTTTGCAGGTCACTGGGATTACCCGTCTACTCAATGAAATGTGTGTCCTGTGCCATAGGGAAGCTCCACGACTGGGAGTCTCAAACGACACAGATCACCGTGGCAACATCCTGGAAACCTGAAGTGTGGGGTCAATTCGTCAGGGAGTCACCTCCGAGATGGAAGGGGAGACTCTGCTCCATGCCTCTCTCCTGGCTGCTGGGGGTTTCCTGGCTGTGGCCACACAGCTCCAACCTTCACAGGGTCTCTCCTGTGCCTTTGTCTGGGTTCATTTGCCCCTTATTGTAAGGACACCACTCCTATTGGCTCAGGGGCTCACATTACCCCGGGATCATCTCATCTCAGCTAGTCACATCTTCAACAACTCTGTTTCCACATCTGGTCGTATTCAGAGGAACTGGGGCTCAGGATGACACAGTTCAATCTGGAACACATCTTCAACCAAGGCAGATTATGAATTATAGATGCACAGACTTTGTTTCCAGGCCAGGGGGATCAGAGATGGCCGAGTTCAGACCTTTATAGTTAAGACGCGGAAGCGTGCCAGTCTAGTGGTGCAGCAGGTTAAACTGCTGCCTACAATGCCACCTGTGACGTCACCATCCCATGTTGGAGCACTGGTTCAAGTCCCAGCTGCTCCACTTCCAGTTCAGCTCCCTGCTAACGCACCTAAGAAAGCAGCAGAAGACGGCTCAAGTGGTTGGGCCCCTGCACCCATGTGGGAGGCCTGAATGGAGTTCCAGGCTTCTGGCTCCCCCAGCCATTTTGGTCATTTCAAGAATGAATCAGCAGATGGAAGATCTCTTTCTCTGGCCCTCTCTTTTTCTCTGTCACTTTGCCTTTCAAATAAATAAAATAAAGCTTTAAAAAATTGTATGAAAATGAGGAAGTAAACTCCAAAGGAAGGGAAGTGTCTTGCTAAGGGCTTAGCCAGAAGAACAGATATCATTTCCTATGAGACCAACATTCGTGTTTCCTCTATTTTGAAATAAACAACAGGTACTTTGAAAAATTAGAGTATTCAGTGTTTTTTTTTTTAAATCCATCTTGTGTTTATTAGGAAAGATAAAAGGCGGAAAGTTGAACCAGTTATAAACAGAGTAAGGATGGGGTAGATAAGAGTGGTTCCTCCCACCCCAGATGCCCGCGGTTCTTTGCAAAGTGCCTTGGAAAGGTTTTCATAGTATGTTAAAAGTGTACCTCCCGAGTCGTGCGAACGCGAACCTCAAGCCAGGTCCCCACAGATGCCTCTTTACCAACGTGCTGTCCGCCTCCACCTGCCCCGTCCCACTCCCCTCAGTAGAAGGAGGCCCCCTCGTAGATGAAGGCACCTGGGGACTGGGGGAGCGGGGGCGGGCTGGGCACCTGCTGCCGGCACAGCCAGAACCGCCGCAGGAGACTTTTGAGGTGTCTGCGGAACTTGACCCCGACGAAGACGTAGAGCACGGGGTTGAAACAGCAGTGCGAGAAGGCCACGTTCCGGCTGATGAGCACGGCGTAGCCCAGATGCTGGCTGACCTCGCAGCTCCGGATGACCCCTGTTTTCAGCAGGGTCTCCAGGAACAGGATGATGTTGTAGGGAGCCCAACTGAGGAAGTAGGCGGTCACGATGGCGAAGATGAGCCTGACCGTCCGGTGGCGGCGTTTGGACCGCGAGCGGAACAGGGTCCTGAGAATCTGTACGTAGCAGAATAGGATGACGGCCATGGACAGCAGGAAGAAGATGTTGTGCTGGTACACCGAGGCCAGGAACCCCCAGAGTTCCGAATACGCACAGTCGGACGACAGCACCTGGTGGAAGATGGCATCGCCCACGGAGGACAGCAGGCTGGCTGCCCACACGGCCACGGTCGCCAGCACGCGGCAGCGCAGGGTGTGGACGCGCAGGCTGGAGAGGGGGCTGACCACTGACAGGTAGCGGTGGATGGTCATGACGGTCAGGAAGAAGATACTGCTGTAGAGGCTGAGGGAGAAGGCCATGCTGAGCAGCTTGCAGAGGAAGTCTCCCAGCACCCAGCCCCAGTAGAAGGTGGAGACCCACACGGGCAGCAAGCAGGAGAAGACCAGGTCAGACAGGCACAGGTTGAGGATGAAGACGTTGGTGAGGGACTCCAGGTTCTCGAATTTCACCAGCACCCACAGCACCAGGCTGTTGCCCACCAGGCTGAGGAGGAACACCAGGCAGTACAGGATGGTGGTGGCGAAGGTGGCGAAGACAAAAGTCTTGCTCTCACACAGGAGGCTCTCAATGTCATACTCAAAAGGCGTGGTGGACTCGAGGGTGCCCGAGGACTCCATCTGGCTTGCACGGCAGGGGAGGTGAAGGCATCTAAAACCAAGGACAGGTGGCATTTACAGCAGGGGGTGCTCAGGCTACAAACAGTAGGGGCCACAGACCGGCTGCGGGCTGGTGAGCTGTCAGGAACCAACAGTCGCTAAGCATAGTGTTGAGTTTGCTAATATCACTCCCCCCCCCCCCCACACACATACATACACAGTGGGACTTCCTTGGTAAAGGAAGCAGTGCCTTGATTTACACAATCCCTGCAGATGTAGGGAAAACTGTGGTGGAAGTGGAGTTAAAAACCTGAGATCAAATGTGGGCCCATAGGCTGGCGCCGCGGCTCACTAGGCTAATCCTCCACCTTGCGGCGCCGGCATCCCGGGTTCTAGTCCCAGTCAGGGCGCCAGATTCTGTCCCGGTTGCCCCTCTTCCAGGCCAGCTCTCTGCTGTGGCCAGGGAGTGCAGTGGAGGATGGCCCAAGTGCTTGGGCCCTGCACCCCATGGGAGACCAGGAAAAGCACCTGGCTCCTGCCATCCGATCAGCGCGGTGCGCTGGCCGCAGTGCAACGGCCGCGGCGGCCATTGGAGGGTGAACCAATGGCAAAAGGAAGACCTTTCTCTCTGTCTCTCTCTCTCACTGTCCACTCTGCCTGTCAAAAAATAAATGTGGGCCCATTACTGTGCTCTTGGATCAACTCACCTGTCTGAACCTTAGCTCCTTACCCACAAAAGAAGGCGAGAGATCCCACACTCATTTATTCAACAAATATCTAGTGCAGTTCACTAACCCTCCTTCCCCTCCCTTCCTTCCTTCCCTCTTCCTTATCCCCCTCTCCTTCATCTCACAAAATGCAGAAATCCCATGGCGGGATTGTATCAGGGAACCTACTGCCTCCTGGAGCAGCCCACCAAAAGAGAGGATACAGATAGAATCAACTCATCCCAAGACTCTCACGAATGTGGAGACACGGGGAGAGGGAACCTGCGCTACCGCAGAGGGTCAACTCTCAGAGCAGGAAGCTTCCCCTTTTGGGGTTGGGGTTTACAGCACCTCTCATAGACCGAGCAAGTGGAGACAACCCAGTGACCCATCAGAGGGGATTCTGTAAGGGGACGGGGCCAAGTCAAGCTCACTCGGTCTCTTAGTGAGGTGTTAGCTGCAGAGACACTAGAAGGCAGGGGAGAGAAGGGAGGGAGAGTGAACAGAAAAGGTGGGATTGCCACGGGATGAGAGCAAGGGAGCAACAGGATGGAAAGCTTGGAGAAGCTGTTGCCTGCGCCACTTAGAGAGTGCTCATGACCCACTTGGGAGTGGGCACTGAGCTAAGACATCACACCGCTCTGGAAGGGATCGTATTGGAGAAGAAACCGAGCCCCAGGGTGTGAACGCGACCTTCTGAATGTCATTAGTGCACAAAGACAGCTGAGCTGGGACCACAGCTGGACAGCCTTGTAATCTGAGAGGGAGAATTGGAGAAATAACCTACATTTCTCACTCATCCAGGGTTGGATAAGAGGAACAGGAAACGGACCCTGAAATTTATGCTACTGCAGATGGCCAAGTCAATTTGTGTCTCCAGAGACCTCAGTGAAGACAGCTGAGATATTTTGTGATTTTATTTTGTATTTTTTGCTTCCTAGAGAGGAAAACACATACTGTTCTATTTTTACTGTCCACTTCTGCTTCTTATTTTAATTGTTTATTTTTTTCTTCTTCTCTATTTCCTTCCCTGGCATTTCTTTTGTTTTCTTTTTTAAAGGATTTGTGGATTTGGGGACTTTTTTTTTTTTCATTTGGGATGATGTTTTATTATGGATTTTAAAGAACATTTTACTTAGTATTGTCCACTCATTGTGCTTCTTAGCCTCTCAATTATGCCTATGGTCTTTTGGTTTTGTCTGACATATAGAAATTACAGGTACTTATATTTTACATATGGGTATATCTGACTTGATGAAACAGCACTTAGTGATCACTGATAGCAGATATCATGGATAAACATGAATAATAGTCTCTGCCAATGAGAACTTTAGAGTGCGGAAAGAAATCAGCAATTAAACAAATACATGAGATTTTGTATGGTGCTTTGGTTGCAAGTAGGTATATCAGCACGGAGACCCTCTAAGCACCCTTCACATCATGGAGGTGAGCCCCACGTCTACTAAACAACCCTTGTCCTGACCCACTGAAGGGTGCAGGTGGACACCTGTTAGCGTGGGCACGCTAGCGTCGTGGTTGAAAACGTCTCAGAATTAAATGGCTCCTCCTGAGAAAGAAGAGAGCTTCCCTCCCCCTGCTTCCTTCACTTACTCAAAGACAAGTAGTTTTATAAACTTGCAGCGTTTGAGTGTCTTTCAGGAATTCAGAGTAGAGACGAGCTGGCTCACGGGAGTGACCATTGTGTTGCTGCTGTCCCCAAGGTGGAATGACTGCTCGTCTCCATTCCCGTGGAGCCCACATGCTTTCCTCTCACCTCTGCAGAATTAAAGTCCTTAGGCTGCTCTGGGATAGCCAGGAACCACTGGCTGACCCAGTGAACTCCGTCTCTCTCTGCCTTACTCCGTCTTTTCTGGATCTGTGGTCCTGAGTAAAGCCGCTTGAATGAACTGGCAAGATGACTTTCAGTCCGCATCTGCCAAGTCATCAACTGCTGGATTATTTATTGTGTAAGAGAGAACGTAACTGGGTTCCACTTTGGCTAATGACTGAGTAACCTCCTGGGTGACCCACCTTTCCACACACAAGGCCTCAAATCCTGCATCAAAATAGACAGAAAATCCACGCATTCCTAAGGGGATCTGGTCATTTGAAAGAAGAGAACAGCTACACGGCACTGGGAGAAGTTCCCATTTTTATGCTCTTGGCCTACGGGCAAGACAGTTACATCTCTAGTAGAAAGCTCCCAGTGGTCTATGTCTTGAAGAACCACATGACCAAGTCTGAGACAACCACAGCCAGGGTCACATGAAGGGAGGAATCACAGAAAGAAAGGGTTAGAGAGGGAGGGGCCCAAAGTCTGTGCATGTGTCCTGCTCAGATGTTTGGCTGCCCTCGGAACCACGAGTGCACAATGAGAGCTCAGAGAACTGAACTTTGAACTGCTGCCCACTTCCATGGAGACAGAAGTTGAGCCTGCCAAGTCAACACCCGTTCAAACAAATCAGCAACGAATCAGTAATCGACATTTTCAGAAGAATGAAACAGAATCCGGAGTCTACACAATACAGCATTCACAATGTTCAGGTTACAATCCAGCGGTACTGTGCGTGTGAACAAACAGAAAAACACGACTCACGTTCCAAAGAAAGAAAAATCAAGAAATCGATGCTGAGCTGATCTCCGTGTTGGAACGTGCGGGTAAGAATCAACATGCAAGGCTAAGTGTGCTCAAGGAGCTAAAGGAAAAGATACTCGGGATGTACGGAAAGTTAGGGCATCTCAGCAGAGAAAGACAAGTCGTGTAAAAGACCCGAAAGGGAACTACCATCAATAAGAACAGATAATCAAGAAGGCTTCACTAATTTGCAGATAAAGCAATATATTTCTAAAGAATTTATGATCAAAGAAGAAATTAAAAGGCAGGCTACAAAATATTCTACACTGAATAATGAAAACACCACAAATCAAAAATCACGGGATGCAACTGAAAAAGTAGCTACAAAGAAATCTATAGATTTAAACATTTATTGGAAAGAAGGAAGGCCAAAAATCAAATAGCAAAATTCAATAACTTAAGAAGACAAAGAGCAGATTAAGTAAGAGGAAGGTAAAAATAAAAGTAAAAGCAGAAATAAAGAAATTAGAAAACAGAATAAAATCAAAATTGGTTGTTTGAAAAAATATTTTAAAAATTGATGAAACCTTAATCAAAATTGAGAATATAAAGATAGAATACAAAATGTCAGTAACAGGTGTGAATGAAGAATTATTGCTACAGCTCTTATAGACCTTAAAAGAATAACAAATAGTATGATCCATTATATGTTAAGAAATTCAACAAGGGAAAAAGGACAAATTTTTAACAAATTCAACATACCAAAAGTGACCTGCAAAGATATAGTAAACTTGAATAACCCTATATTTGTTATGGAAATATACCTAATTATAAAAAAGACCTTGTAAGAAAGAAAAATTCAGAACTAGATGATTTTCCTAGTGAACTTTTTCAAATATTTGAGGAAGAAATAATGCCAATTTTATGCAAACATCTGAAATAGAGGCTAGAATAGTTTCCACTTTGTCTTACAGGGCCAGCATTAACCTGATGAAAAAATCAGACCAAAAATTACAAGAAAAGAAAAGTACAGATCAATATTCCCCATGAACACGGACACAAAAACCCTGAACAAAATATTAGCAACCTGAATTCAGCAAGATGTGTTACAAGGGGAATACAACAAGAGCAGGTGGAGTTTTTCCCACAGTATGAGGCTGTTTTAATATTTGAATATTAATCAATTCAACTCACCATATTAACAGAATAAAGGCAAGAACCATATGATGGGTTTTGATAAGCACAGAAAAACATTTGGCAAAACTCAACACCCATTCCTTTTATGAGTTCAACTAAGTGGGCTACTGGATGTCTTTAAAGTGATCCTATTCTTCCGTAGGTCATTAGCTCATTTACTCAAGAATTTCAGAGGCAATCCCGTTCTGGGCCTGGAGGCTCTTGTGGATACAAAGGACAAAGATGCCACCCCAGAGCTCTCCCAGCACCACGCTGGGGCTTTGCCCCCAGCCATGTCTCTTCCCCACCTCAACTCTGAGCCTGTAGTCCCAGATTCCTCATCTTTAATACACTTTACAGGCCGGCGCCGCGGCTCACTTGGCTAATCCTCCGCCTGTGGTGCCGGCACCCTGGGTTCTAGTCCTGGTTGAGGTGCCGGATTCTGTCCCGGTTGTTCCTCTTCCAGTCCAGCTCTCTACTGTGGCCCGGGAAGGTAGTGGAGGGTGGCCCAAGTGCTTGGGTCCCTGCACCCCATGGGAGACCAGGGTAAGCACCTGGCTCCTGGCTTCGGAGCAGCGCAGCACGCCTGCCGTACTTAGCAGCCATTTGGGGGGGTGAACCAATGGAAGGAAGACCTTTTTCTCTCTCACTGTCTAACTCTGCCTGTCAAAAAAAAAATACGATTTACAATGACAAACACAACTAAATTATACAACCGCCAATGCTAACAAGGCTTTTCATAAAGACCCGGTGCCAAAGAAACCCCCCTACTTCCTTTGGCATAAGCCAAAGAATGACGGCAGCTTTCTCAGCTCTGCTCCAACTAGGGGCCACAGAGCTGCTGTTCCAAAAGGGACCCAGGTCTCGGGAATGCTCAGCACGGAGGAACCGGAGTCTCGCAGGGCTGGGGAACGAGCTTTCTGCCACGGGCCACGTGGACGTCTAGAGCGCCATTCCCAGGCCGCACAGCATCACCAACTGACAAAGCTGTACTGAATGTTGAGTCCTGCCTGTTGTTGCCTTGCTGGGGCCAGACTGAATGATTTCCTGGGCCTCAGACAGCCTGCTGGCCAGCTGTCCCCGCTCCTGCTAGAGGTGGGCTCGGGAATCTGCAAACTCACTAACATGCTGTGCACTTTTGATGCCTGCTAAATATCAGAACATCCAGAAGTTATTAAAATCAGTGGAAAACATAAGTTTAACGGAACTCACCTGAACCCACACCTCTTTCTACGCGTCTCAAGGCACGAATGGTGCTTCTCTGTTTCATAGTCTACTTAAATCGAAACACCTGCCCTGCCCAGACGGCCAGAGGAAGGTGGGGGAAGATTACTGTGAGGATCTTAAAGAGAGAGAGAAAGTCACAGGGAGTAGTCACGCATTTCGAGTTTGTTCATTAGGTTGAACAATTTTCACCTGTATTCCCATAGAGACCACATTTCATAGAGATATAATTAGGAGATTATATATGTCATCCTGATATTTCCATGTAGGGTTAGTCTCTTCCTTTCCAGGCTGGAGGCATTTCATTGTCTTATCTGATTGCCTGGCTGGAACCACCAGTGCAGTGGTGAACAGGGGTGGTGAGAGTGGACTTTCTCGTCTTGTTTGTCATCGCGCAGGAAACCGTCCAGCTTTTTCATCATTAGTGTCTTGCCAGCTGCCCTTTGTCTACTGAGGAAGCTCCTTCCTATGGCTAATCTGCTGAGCGCTTTTTGCCTCCCTTTCTTTTGAGGTTGATCGGGAAAGGACGTTGGATGCTGTTGGACACCGTTCCGAGCATCCCCTGAGTTCTGCCGTGTGGAGGCTGCGACAGATGTTTGATTCCTTCACCCACGGCAGGACATCTTGGTTGCTCCCATTTCTTGGCACTTATGGAAGACGCTTTGCACACTACATTCTAAACATATTTATGTGTGGGTTTTTGTGTGGACGTAAATTTTGAGCTCAGCTGGCTGAGTCACTAGGCGCGTGGTTGATGGATTATGGTGTATGCTTTGCTTAGCTTCCTAACAAACTGCAAAACTGCCTTCCATCACTGATGAATGAGGACTCTTGCTGCTGCACATCCGGGACCTCACCAGCACTTGGTATTGTCAGCCTTTAAAAGAAAATTAGCTGCGTGTAGAGATGTCCCTGTTGCTTTAATCGCAATCCTCGGATGCCTATAATGCTGGATGTCTCATACTTGTGATTTGTATATCATCTGGAGTGAAGTGTCCATTCAGATCTTTTGCCCATTTGAAAAATTTCCATTCTTTTCTTGTTGTTGACTTCTAAGTGGTCTTTGTATATTTTGGATACAAGTCCTTTATCAGATTTTTTTTTGGCACATATCTTCCCCCAGTAGGTGGCTTGTGTATTCATTCAATTTTTAGAGCTTTTGATTTAAATGAAGTCCAACTTCTTAATTTTTTCTTCCATGGTATGGTGTCTAAAAATCCATTAAAAATCCAAGGTCAGGCAGGCGCCACGGCTCAACAGACTAATCCTCCGCCTTGTGGCGCCGACACACCGGGTTCTAGTCCCGGTCGGGGTGCTGGATTCTGTCCCGGTTGCCTCTCTTCCAGGCCAGCTCTCTGCTGTGGCCAGGGAGTGCAGTGGAGGATGGCCCAAGTGCTTGGGCCCTGCACCCCATGGGAGACCAGGAGAAGTACCTGGCTCCTGCCATCGGATCAGCGCGGTGCGCTGGCCACAGCGCGCTGGCGGCGGCGGCCATTGGAGAGTGAACCAACAGCAAAAGGAAGACCTTTCTCTCTGCCTCTCTCTCTCTCACTGTCCGCTCTGCCTGTCAAAAAGAAATAATAAAAAAAAAAAGAAAAAAATCCAAGGTCATCTAGATTTTCTCTTTCGTCTCCTAAAAGTTTAATACTTTTGTATTTTGCATATAGATATATATCTATATATTATATGATCTATTTTAAGTTAATTCTGCCAAAGGTGTAAGGTCTCTAGGTTAATTTTTTCCTGTAGATTTGCAATTTCTGGCACTATTTGTTGAATAGATTATCCTTTATCCATTTGATTTTTTCTGTCCCCTTTTCAAAGATCAATTGGTGATATTAGTGTATCTCTATTTCTGGACATGCTGTCTGTTCTGTCAAATCCATTTGTCTATTATTTTATAAATACCTTGTTGTGTTTTACTGTGCCATACTGATTGCTATAACTGTATATATGTATATTTTAATAAAAGTAAATCTTTATGAAGATAAAATGATTTTCATAATGGGTCACACAGCAAACCCAACTCTGTGTTTAAGAGATGCATCCAAACAAAAAGATTTGGAAAGTTTGAGATTAAATAGTCACCAGGGAAATACAGAGAGCAAGAGTGGGTATCTTAATATCACATATGTGGGATTCAGAACTGAGATCATAAAATGAAGAAAGGCATATTATTATGTAAGAGGTATAATTCAGGGAAGACAGCATTTATAAATATCTATAGTCTAATATGCATTTACATTTATATATATTTTAAATTTAATATATGAGAAAAAGTGGTATTTGTCTTTATGTGGCTTATTAAATCACTATTAGCGTAATGATCTCTAATTCCATATATCTTGTTGCAAATATCAGGATTTAATTATTTTTATGGCTGAATAATATTTCATACACACATACACACACACGCTACATTTCTTTTCTTTAAAAAGATTTATTTTATTTATTTGAAAGAGTTACAGAGAGAGGTAGAGACAGAGAGAGGTTTTCCATCTGCTGGTTCACTCCTCAGATGGCTGCAATGGCTGGAGCTGTGCCAGTCTGAAGCCAGGAGCCAGGAGCTTCTTCCGGGTCTCCCACGTGGGTGCAGGGGCCCAAGGACTTGGGCCATCTTCTACTGCTTTCCAAGACCATAGCAGAGAGCTGGATTGGAAGAGGAGCAGCCAGGACTAGAACTGGTGCCCATATGGGATGCCGGTGCTGCAGGCCAGGGCCTTAACCCACTGTGCCACAGCGCCAGCCCCCTCCCCACCACGCTACATTTCTTTATCCATTCATCCACTGATGGACATGTGGGTTGATTCCATATCTGTGCTACTGTGAATAGAACTGCAATAAACACAGACATGCAAGTATTTCTTTCATATGCTGACTTCATTTCTTTTAGATATATTCCCAGACATGCGATAGCAAGGAAATGTGGTAGATCTACTTCTAGCTTTTTGAGAAATTCCTTTATTGTTTTCCATAATGGCTTTGCTAATTTGTATTCCCATAATCTTGCCAGCAGTTGTAATTTTTTTCTTTTTAAAAAACATTTATTTGTTTATTTGAAGCAAATAAACAAAAGGCAGAGTTACATAGAGGAGAGAAAGAGAATTTTTTTCTCTTTGATAACAACCCTTCTAACTGGAGTAAGGGGATACTTTGTCAGGTTTTTAGTTGCATTTCACTAATGGCTAGTGATATAGAGCATTTTCACACGCTGGCCATTTGTATTTCTCTTTCTGCACAAATGTTCAGGTCCTTTTCCCATTTCTTAACTGCATGGCTTGTTTTGGTGTTGCTGAACTTTGCAAGCTCCTCATATTTTCTGGATATTAACTCTTTATCAGATGCATAGTTTGCAAGTATTTTCTCCCATTCTTTTGGCTGTCCACTTTCTTGACTTCTTGCTATGTAGAACTGTCTTAGTTTGATAAAATAGCATTTGTCTGTTTTTGCTTTTATTGCCTGTGCTTTTGGGGTCTTAATAAAAATAATAATAAAAAATCAAGTTGCCTCTGCCTGTGTCTTAAAGTGTTTCCCTGATGTTTTCCTCTAGTAACTCCACTGTTTCAGGTCTTTCATTTAGATCTTTGATCCACGCTTATTTGATTTTTGTAGGGTGAAAAGTAGCAATCTTGCTTCCAACTTCTGAAGATGTCCTTTCTCGTGTCAAAGGTAAGTGAGTTGTCGATGTGTGGATTTATTTCTGGGATTTCTGTCCCAGAGATCTGCCCAGCACTACTCTGTTTGGATTATAGGAGCTGTGTAACAGGCCTTGCAACCTGGTGTCGCAACGTCCCAACCTTTGTGCTTGTTCAAGATTGCTTTGGCTCTCTGTACATATTTTGTTGAATTAATGCTTAAACACTTCACCTTTTGGTCCTAATGTAAATGGTATTGCTTTAACTTCTAAATTTCAGTAGTTCATTGCTGGTATTTAGAAAAGCCATGAGGTGGGCATTGTGGGTTAAGCCACTTCTTGGGATGCTCCGTCGCATTCTGTAGTGCTAGCCCAAGTCCTGGCTGCACTGCTTTCCATCAGCTTCCTGCTCATGCATCCTAGGAAGAAGTGGGTGACGGCCCAGTAGTTGGGTTCTTGCCATCCATACTAGGGACCCAGGTGGAATTCTGGGCTCCTGGCCTCAGCATGGTCCAGCCCTGGCTGATGCAGACACTAGGAAAGTAAGCCAATGGATGGAAGATTCTCTCTCTCACTCTGCTTTTCTAATAGATGAAAATAATCACTCAAAAATAAAACCAATGGAAATTTGCATATTAATTTTATATCCTCCAGTCTTGTTTTAATCACTTATACATTTCAGGAGTTTTTTTGTTGTTGATGATGATTCTTTGAGATTTTGTACAGAGAAAATCATATCATCTTCAAATGAAGACATTTTTACTTCTTCTTTCCATACCTGTACTTCTTATTTCCTTTTTAAAAGATATTTATTTATTTATTTATTTGAGAAGTAGAATTACAGACAGAGACAGGGAGAGACAGAGAGAGAGGCCTTCCACTCACTGGTTCACTCCCCAAATGGCCACAATGACCGGAGCTGAGCCAATCCAAAACCAGGAGCCAGGAGCTTCCTCTGGGCCTTCCATGTGGGTGCAGGGGCCCAAGCACTTGGGCCATCTTCCACCACTTTCCCAGGCCATAGCACAAGCTGGATCGGAAGAGAAGCAGCTGGGACACAAACCGGCACCAGCATCAGCACCGGCCCCTCGTTTCCTTTTCTTGTCTCATTGCATTAGCTGGATGAACAGTGAAATGCAGAACAGGAGTGCTGAGAGGGGACATCTTCGCAGTGAAACTTTCTTAGGGAACATCCACTTTCTTACCGCTAAGAATAATGCTTACGGAAAGTATTTTGTTAATTGTCTCAAAAACTAACTGGGAGCCCGCAGTGTGGTGTAGTGGGTTAAGCTGCCACCTGCGATGCCAGCGTCCTATGTCATAGCACCAGTCTGAGTCCCAGCTACTCTGCTTTTGACCCAGCTCCCTCTGATCTGCCTGGGAAGGCAGTGGGACATAGTCCAAGTACTTAGGTCCCTGTCACTCATGTGGGCAACCTGAATGGAGGTCCACGCTCCTGGGGAGTAAACGAGCAATGGAAGATTCATTCTCTCTCTCTCTCTCTCT